AGGGCCACGTGGTTCAGAGAGGAGTGGAGGGTCGTTTCTGCAGGAGGTAATTGCAGTAACATGGAGCGAATGTCATGACCGAGGCCACAGAGCAGCTCTGAGGAGGGACACAGACTGTAGAAGCTTTGGGTTTTATTATCCAAACCTGAGAGGTCACAGGGTCACAGACAATGGATGACTCCCAGAATTCCCCACTACATGTTCATGAGCACATCTACAATTTTGATAACATATCCAAGATATTATGAAGAGACAAATAAATCTGAAATTAAAGGAATCGAGATGCTGGGATCGGCTCCAGTATCCTGCAACCCTACAGAAGACAAGAGGTTTGGAGAATGGTTGGATAGATGGAGATTAAAGATCACACACACGGACACACACTGCTGACCAACACAATAGACTGTCGGTCACTCACCTGCCGTCTGACATACACACTCATAAAGGACAATAATGTGCATCAAATGTGCTCTGATTTTAGATCGTAAACGACAGTCTGGACTCAAACCTGCTGTGGTTTCTATTATATACTAAAACTACTGGTGAAAAATAATGGTTGAAAAATCAACAGCAATAAAATAAAAAGTTAATTTGATGATTGTCCTTATGCATCATCCATTTTAACATTGAACACTGAAAAAGTACATTTGAAAATAATATTAATATAAAAACTCTAGAGCATGCAAGTCATCCAATTGAGACTGCTCTACGGTTTTTATTTTTCCAACATTATATACAGGTGTTTTAGGAAACCTCAATATCAGCTAAGGATGGCCTCAAAATTAGACCTCTAAGCATAATACAAGATACAGAAATAGATATAGATACAATACAAGATATAGAAACATTTCACACATTCTTGTTCCTTAGACTGAGAACTGAAGTCTAAATGTAATGATCAACATCACTCAGAGTTCCACTTTTAGGGTCAGTTTATAATGGGAAGGATTCGAGTCTCAGTCCTACATTGTTGGGGGGTGCCCATTCAGAACATTTCAGATTTGAGACTTTGAGGTTTGAGAAAGTGCAATTAAAAAAAAAAAAAACGCCTGGCATTGGGGTTGATTATCTCTGGTGGGAAAGCAGATAAAAACCTTTTTCCTCTACGGCAACATTCTGCTGTAAAAATTACAGTTTGAGATTATACTGTTTACAGAGCTAGAGCTAGTAGAAATCGGGAGAAAAGCCTACTTTCTTCATGCATTTGGAGAAATGAAAAGGTGTAATATGCTGTAAGCATAACAAATAATATTGTAGAGTAATTAGGTTTATGATTGACATCTTATACAGTATCAGATCTAAAACAGTGGTTCTCAACTAGGACAACTAGAGGCACTCAGAAAACTTCCAAGGATGGACAAATAATTCTTAAAATGTATTTAAATTATGTTGTGTGTCATGACACAAAGACACCCCCTGAAAATTGGAACATTAAAAATGGGCAAGCAGCCAATTTTACAATTTTCGGACCACTTGAGATGGACCACTGACCCTTTTAAATTATACAGCAGTTAAACATTGCCTGCAAACACAAGCTCATTGCTAAAAAATAGAAACAGGAAGAATACAGAAGAGAAACGTTTGAAATGTTATGTCTTTGAATTTAACCTTGTGAATGTCTGTAAATGCCAACCACACAAACAGATCCATACTGACACGCATATAGATGCATATTCACATTCATCTTTAATTCTGTTTATTCTATTTCAGTAACTTTCTTCTGATGTAGTCAAACTATATTAATAAACAATATTTCAGATGAGCGCATTCCTGTTGTGAACCTTCACTTCATTGACACTTAAGCCGCTGTACTAAACTGCAGCTCACCTTCACCTGACAGCTCTTCATAACACACAGAAACAATATGAGAATGACAGATGATCACAATTACACAGAGAAATAGAGTAGCACTGAATTCTAGCAATCTGAGCTCCGACACAGATATTCTAGGTTATCATGTCATGTACAGCATCTTTGCCTTTCTTATTGCAAGCAATCATTTCAACTCGTGTAAAAAAATTGAAAAAAAGGTAAGTCAGCTGTCATGATTAACTATGTCATTAATATTTGATCACATTTTCTTAAAAAAAAAAAAAAAGTTGAAAGTGACAGCCCTAAACAAATGGCCATGTTGACCATGTGAATACACTAACAATGGAAGTCAAGCACAAAGAGGTCTATAATACATCATCAAACTATAATACAACTTCAAATTTAGGGCTGCATGAATGTGGTTTTACACAGCTTGTCAGTGAACAATGGCTCTGTGTAGTAAATGCTGCTCCATGTGAAAGCCCGCACATGATGGAGATTACAGAACCAGCTTTACTGACAAGATGCACATTAAATAATCACATGCAATGCAGCCCTAATTGAAGATAAATTTCATAATTAATTCTATTATTTTAAACATAAGGAGGAAATTAACCGTGGGATTCAAAATCACAGTTGCTCACCTTCAGTTTTTTGGTCGCCCTCTTTCCTGTTTGCTTCTTGACAAAATCCGATCACGTGCTCACATCGAAAATATTTGAAATGCATGTAATACTGAATGGAAACAGAGCCAATGATTCATTTTGAACAAATCGGTTGAGTGAATGATTCATATGCACATTCTAACCTGTTGACTTCTATAAACTTACTTGGACTTTAAAAACACATATCCATTTAACTTATACTGTTCTTTGCCCGCAAATTAACATCTGTGTACACATCAGGAAGGTGTTATGTAGATTTTGTGTTTAAGTTGGTCCAAAGTTTGTTACTGCTGTGTTTAATTTGCAACCTTTATGTTTTTTTTTTCTTTTTTTCTTAAAGCAATTTTTTTCCTTCTAATCAGGAGAACAAAATACCAGAACCCAACAATTTATGTATTGATTACCTTTTATTTTGCAAATCCTCCTCTTTACTGCAGTTACATTTCCTGGTTCACACTCTGTACAACCAAACCCATAATCTTTTTCTTCTTCTTCTTCTTCTCTGGAGTTTTTTGGCAGATTGGCAAACCAACGTTAAAGGTGCATGTCCACCACCTATTGGTCTGGAGTGTGAAACTTAAATGGTTCAGCTATGAATTATTCAACTATTATAGATTTAAAAAATACTAATAAATAATAATAATACTAATAATAAAATAAAATAAAATAATAAAAGAAACCATTTTTTAACGTAAATAAATACAAATTTCAAAACTTTCCATTAATCTTGTCTTTTTTAAATACTTAAAGGGGTCCTATTATGCTCTTTTACAAAGTCTTGATTTTGTTTTGGGGGTGTACTAGAACATGCTCTCATGCTCGGTGGTTCGAAAAATGCATTATTTTTCACATAATTTACTTGATTAAAATACCTTTCTCCCCATCCTGGCACAAACGGCTTGATTAGTTCAGGCTTTGATGAAGGTCCGCCTTCCGAAAAACAAAATGTGTTGTGATTGGTTAGCTGTCCCAGTGCGTTGTGATTGGCGAACAGCTTAGACGGTGTTTCAGTACTGCCCCGCCTCTTGCTCCGTCTTTCAACAAAAGCTTTTGGCGAATCTGGCACTTCTCACTCGTGATGTGGAAGCTGTCCTCAGTGAAATGCGCAGCACACAATAGCAAATTGGGGTTATAATGCTCAGGAACAGAGTTAAAAAATAAATTGCAACCACTGTTTCCTGACATCATCCGCTTTCGGAAGCCCAAACAAAGACGTTTGGGCACGGAGGTGAAAAAAACAACATTTCAGGCGGTCGCACACCGGACGAGAAGCGCAGTGTCGCGTTGCGCTACGTCTTTAAAATTCAAATACATTATTTTCTATGAGTGTAGGCTCACCGGCGGCGACTGTCCGCGGCGCCCAGCTACGTCGTGTTATACTTGTAAGAATTGTTCTAGACATGCCGAAAATTTGAAGCTACAGCACAGCAACTCTTCTTCTTGGTTTTCTCTGATGCACTAACTCTGCAGCAGCACTTCTTCTTCGTCGTCTCGTCTGATGCACTCACTCAACCAAGCGTTCTAACCACATCCTCACCCCTCCCCACCCCCCAACTAGGGATGCACCAATACCGGTATCGGTATCGGGCCCGATACTGGTCTCCTGTACTCGTACTCGTACTCGTTAAAATGCCCCGATACCAAACGCCGATACCACACAGCATGTGATAAGCGCCATATTCAAACAAAGAAACATCGACAACAGAACAACAGACAGCAGAAAGGAGTTAAGGATGTCTACTAAGAAGTATATGTATGCAATGAATATAATGTTAAACATTCAGTATTAACGCCTGTATAGCTGATCTGCATGAGCTGATAAACAAAGCACGCTGAGTGTATTGAGCGCGCGGCGGCGCAGATGCGCAAGCTTGTCGAGTGAATTTATTTTTCTCACAGACATCACTGGAAAGTTTGTAGTTCGCGCGGATATGTCAAAAGCAAGTAAGTAAAACAATGCACAAGTTACTTAACGGTAGGGAGGGAGAGAGAGAGAGCGCGCACAATTCTGTTGTGTGATCTTTGATGTTCACTCACTTAGCACATGCATCATTTGGATTAAAACTTAATCGTAAAAATAAGACCATTTATAGGGGTATTCACTATAAACATCATGTATGTTCAACCTTAGGCATACACGACTTTCTGGCGAAAGTGAATCTAGCAGCCTGTGTGAAATGTGCTAGGCTGTACTACTTGTCCCTCTCATTCTGCATCAGTACAAATACCTGCACGCGTTGCGCGTGTTTTGCTTGCTTGAGTGTTTCTGCATTAGATGAGTGGCTTTGGAAAATAAATCACAGCACGTTTCAGATGAAAAAACGCGACTTTTATTTCTGAAAATGTGATGTTTACAAACAAATTTCGGGAGGAGCATGCACAGATAATTAACACGGCCAGTTCATCATTAGTGATTACACCATGTATCCAATCGGCGCAAGAGAAAACTCCCATAAATAACCAAGTACGCCCTACCTTCGTTATCTCTCGACTTTCAGCATTGGTACATCCAATCGCCGCATGATGTCCGAGACTGAATTGTTCCCTGAGGAAAACACCTTCGACAGTACAGCTCCTCCCGCATCTACAGCCGACGTTCAGCACGCCAGCGCTCCGCTGGACACCCCAACTGAGCCCGCGGCTGCACCTCGGGGCCGCAGGCCTTCCCGCATCGCCGCCTCTCATACCTTCAGACGCCGAGATTCTCCTTCACCCTCACCTTCCAGGCGTCAGCCACCTTCTCCAACATCCTCCTATGCCTCGGTTCTCTCCTCCGCTCCAGCTACGGAGAAATGGACCGTGCCAAAGTTACGCCAAGCGCTTTCAAACGCCGGCATCCTCGCTCCTCACCGTATGAACAAGGCGGAGCTACAAGCCCTCTACGCTTCGCTCCAGGCGGGGGCGCCACTTCCAATCGACACTCCTCCGTCCAAAGCAAAGGACAAAACAAACCGGGGCCGCGGTGCTCCTTATTCACGGCCCGATCCAACTACCACGCCACCAAGAACAAGCTTCCGACTATCTGGCCGCAGCAGAAGGCCTTCGGCAAGCCTGGGCCGCGCACCTGATCCAGCAGCAAACATCTCCTGATCCTCTGAACGTCGGCCAGCAGACCCTCCAGGCGACGCACTGGCGCCCGCCTCCACAAGCCGCCGAAATAGCGTGAGCACGCCTCCGCTAGCGGCGCTGCCCCATCCCCAGTCTCTGTTTTATCCCACCCTTAACCCTCTCCCCTACCCATGGCCCCCAGCCCCACCATCCAGCTCTAGCGCGAGGCTTCCTCAGCTAGCAGCAAAAGCTCCGACGCCCACAATCTCATCTTTCCTTAGCGGCGCTGCCCTATCCCCAGTCTCTGTTTTACCCCACCCTTAACCCTCTCCCCTACCCATGGCCCCCAGCCCCACCATCCAGCTCTAGCGCGAGGCTTCCTCAGCTAGCAGCAAAAGCTCCGACGCCCACGATCTCATCTTTCCTTCCTTATGTTTTTCCCCCCCCCGAAACCAACCAAAGCGTGAGGCCGCCTCTGCCAATAGCGCAGGTTCCGGCGCCCGCTATTCCCTCTCTTTTTCCTGTTCTTTCTTCCGATCTCGCCCCCCGAGCTGTTCCAAGCGTGAGCTTGCCTCCGCAGGCGGTTCTGGAGGCTACTTTTCCCACCCCCATCCCCCAGGCCCGCTCATCCTACTGTCTGTCCACAGCCACACC